TATGTATGTATGTATGTATGTATGTATGTATGTATGTATGTATGTATGTATGTATGTATGTATGTATGTATGTATATGTATACGTATATAGATCGATGTATGTGCGCACTGTACATGTATAGTTATGTCTATATGCGAGAGAGGGGGAGAGAGAGAGAGAGATAGTGTGCATGAGCGACATTATTTGCCCTTTGCATATCCCCACCAGCCCATTCAAAATCAGTTTGCCAGGCGAGTTGAAGCGTTGTTGTGAGATGTTCTCGGGGATCTCTTGGAGCCATCTGTGGGCTCTCTTAATGTTCTATTGGAGCCCTCTTGGGGTTCTTTTGTGGCCATCTTGGGGCCCTCTTTGGTCCCTTTGGGCGGGTCTGAGAGGTATCTTGGGGCTGCCTTGGCCCCCGTAGCTCAAAAGGATGGGGGTCCTCAATTCATCCCCCCCCCTCGGAGGCTCAGAACTTGCCTCTTGGGGCCTCCTTGGGGCGCTCTCGGGTGCTCTTTGGCGCTCCTAGGGCCCTCTCGGGGCCCTCTTGGGGCCCTCTTAGGCTCCTCTTGGGGCTCTCTTGGGCCGTCTTGGGGCCATCATGAGGCCTCGGACTCCCATCAGAAGCGACACGACGAGACCGCAGCAAGGTTTTGGAACCGCTTTGGCCTCTTGGGGGGCCCTGGGAGGGCCCAGAGGGGGCATCTGGAACCATCTTGGGGCCGTCTTGGGGCGTCTTCGATGTATGTGGGAGGCTACTCCAGATTTCGTAATAAAGGGAGGGGGGTCTCATTTCGGGGGGGGTCTCTTCCAGGCTATCTTGGATGGCCTGGGGGGGTCTGGGGACGATGTTTTGGAGGGTTCTCCCACGGGGGAGCTCCGAAATGGCTTGTCTTGGAGGGTCCAGACCCCCTCCCTTTTATTACGAAATCTGGAGTATCTTGAGCCCTCTCGGGGGCCAGCTTGGGCTCTCCGAGGCCCCGTGGGGGCCGTCTCGGGCCACCCCGGGCGGTCTGGTGCCTCGCGGCGCCCCCCCTCTCCCGCAGGCCCAGGGGATGGGGTAGGGGGACGGGTCAAGCCACCCACCCGCCCGTAGGGGGACACGCCCGTAGGGGGACACGCCCGTAGGGGGACACGCCCGACTTACCTCTACCCTACCTCTACGTTCCCCCGAGCCGTGGCCTCCCGCAGAAATCTCTACTCCAGATTTCGTAATAAAAGGGAGGGGGTCTGGACCCTCCAAGACAAGCCACTTCAGACCCCTCCCCTGGGGGAGAACCCTCCAAGACATCGTCCCCAGACCCCCCCAGGCCCTCCAAGATAGCCTGGAAGAGACGCCCCCCGAAATGAGACCCCCCTCTCCCTTTCTTACGAAATCTACCCGCCCGCGAGCCGTCTAGCTTTATGTCGGGCGTGTCCCCCTACAGGGGGATGTTCGACGAAAAATTAAGCATACTCCCAAAAATGCTCCAAAGAGGTCAAACAATATTCAAAAATTAGTCCCCAGAGTATTTTTGGAGTATTGTTGTTGATCATTTTTGAGGTATTTTTCATTTTTCGTCGAAAATCCCCCTGTAGGGGGACAGGCCCGACTTAAGTCTAGCTCACTCCCACCCGCCCTCCCAACACATAAGTAACAGCCGAGCCTGAGCACGTTCGGCGATCGTCTTTGGATGGGCAGCCACTGGGAACCAAAGCCGACCCCAGGTGCGCGACGTTTGGGCGAGATGCGCCGCGCGTGCCAGGGGCGCCACGCGCGCCATGCGTTTTGATTCGGTTTTTCGAGGCGGATCCTGCCATGGCGACGAGGCACAGAAAGAATGCGAACTCCGCTCAGGAAACGTGTTTTGGTAATCCTAACCCCCAAGGGGCCGAGAACTGCCGAATAACTCCCATCCTGATTTCTTGACGACGCGAGGAGTTCCGGGTCGCTGTCGTGGTTGTCTTCGGTCGTCGGCTTCAGTCGTCTCCGCTGTCGCCGTACCGTCGCCGTGGTCGTCGTTGTCGCCGCGTTCCGTCTGGCTACGGGGCCTCCCCTGTGATTGTTTCCAGCAGCTTCGATCGATGCTCGAGGACTGAGGACCGAGGCGCGTGGATGCTTCCGACCTGTCGGGGACTCTTCCCGGTGCGGGGCCAGGCCGCCGCCAGCGCGGAGCTGAGACCAGCGCCCGCCGCTGCTGCGGCGCCCGCGGCAGCGTCGGCGCCAGCGGCCGCCGCCGCGCCCCCCGCAGTGGCGGCCGCAGGAACTACCACGTCGTCTTCGTCGTCGTCGCCGCCGCCGCCGTCGCCGCCGCCGCCGCGGTGATCTCGTCGGCGTGCCAAGGTTTTCTGCATTCTCGGGCCTGGAGATGCGATTCGGGCCTGTAGGGGCTGTCCAAGCACCAGTGGGGACGCTCCGAGACTCGGAGGTATATCAAGTCACTGGCAGTCTGTGCCGTCGCAGGTGTCCAAGTCTTCTCTGGGCCCCTGAATGTTTCTGGTCTCGTTGTGTTTTCCAGCAGCTGCGCCTCGTAGAGGGCGGCCCTCCAGGCCTCCCAACTGGGCTCCAAGTAGATGGGGTCGGAGATGGTCGGAGGATCGCGCCGCATCGCCAATGCATCGGCCATGCGGCTCGATGTGGGGACCGATTTTTTCCACGCCGACGTCGACTGTGCACCGCCGCCGTCGCCGATACATCGGCAAAGCATCGGGAATGCATCGCCGATGCATCGCCGATGCATCGGCGATGCATTCGCGATGCGGCGCGATTTTCCGACTCCATCTACTCGGTCTTGATGGTGGGGGTGGTGGTGATGTTGACGGTGGTGACGATGACGACGGTGGTGATGGCGATTGTGGTGATGTCGGTAACGATGGTGACGACGACGAGGACAAGGACGAGGACGGAGAACGACCTGAACGGCAACGACGATGATATTGTTGCCAATGATGACGGTCATGGTCATGCACGCAGTCACGGGCATGGTTACGGTGATGAGTATGATGGCGAGAACCATTTCAAGTCATAATGGTGGTGGTGGTGATGATCTGATGCTGACAATTGCGGCGGCAATGAGTACGACGATTTTGATAATGAAGATGCTGCTGATGATGCTGGTGATGATGATTATGATGGTGGTAGTGTTGGTGGTGGCGATGATCCCGTATGCTGCTGCTGAGGATGATGATGCTGATGACTATGACGACGATGACGACGACGTTGCTGGTCATGATAATGGTGCTTTTGATGATGTTGATGTCAATGCTGATGTTGACGATTATGATGACGATGATGATGCCGATGATGATGACGATGATATTGATGATGTCGATGATGATGCTGATGCAGATGCTGATGCTGCTTCTGCTGATGATGATAGTGGTGGTGATGATGCTGATGATCATCATGACGATGAGCCCAATGACGATGATGAAGAGGACGACGATGAGGATGGATGATGATGGTGATGCTGATGATGACGACGATGACGGTGATGAGGATGAGGATGAGGATGATGACGACGACGACGGCGACGACGACAAACGATGACGATGCTGATGCGAATGCTGATGACGCTGATGATGACGCTGCTTCCGATGATGCTGCTGTTGTTGAGGGTGATTTGGTTGCTGGTACATGCTGGTGATGTTTCACAGGATGATGAGGATGCTGACGACGACGTCAATGAAGATGCTACGCATGATGATGATGGTGATGGTAATGATGATGCTGATGATTCGGATGATGATGATGATGAGGATGATTACGACGAGGACGATGATGATGATGATGATGATGATGATGATGATGATGATGATGATGGTGGTGGTGATGATGATGATTATGATGCTGCTGCTGATGATGATGATGATGGTTCTGATCATGATGGTGATAGTGATGGTGATCGTGCTTGTGAAGGTGATGGGATGGTGATTGTGAATTGATGGTGATGATGAGAATTAGGAGGAGGAGGAGGAGGAGGAGGAACACCCACCCTCCTAGTTCTCTTCCTGAAGCGGAAGAGTAGGAGTAGGAGGACGAGGAGGGGGATTATTCCCATCTTCCTTCTCCTCTTCCCCTTGATTCCGCCCTGTTGCCTTCACGTCCCCCTCTTCCTCCCTCCGCTCTTTTCCCATTATATGAGGGCTTCTGGCGGTCCTCGGGGCACATCCCGTGGGAGACTCTGGACTCCTCGTGTCGCTTCCTCCCCTTATCTCGACGGCGTGGTTTTTCTCTGACCTCCGACGGCTATTTTTTGTTCCGCGACGCGGGGTCTCTCTCGACCCTCTTCCCAAAGACCCGCCTTTCCATATTGGTCCGTGTTTACCCGAGCGTTTCCGTTGGGTGGAGGCAAAGGGTGAAATCTGAAATGCCGGTTCGATTGATCTTCGAGGTTTGAGTCTGCGAAAGGTGAATCACAAGACGGACTGATCTTCAGGGTGCAGAAGCCCAGAAGCAATTCACCTTGAGCCCTCCACCCTAGGAAAATGCTCAGTTTACGGCCCCAGGGCCCAGGAACGCATCCCGCCCGCCGAGAGAAGCATACAACGACAGACCTCCGGCGCTTCCTCCGGCGTTTTCTTTGGGTTCGGAGTTCAGGGCCCCCTCGCACGCTGACGCGCCGGAGGGGTCGTCCGCCGTGGGTCGAACCATTCTCTCCTCGACGAGGCGTAATTAAGAGTGACCTTTCGCCGGAGTGACCTTTGGTGCGGGCACAGATGGGCCCTCAGAGGGCTGGAAACGAAGCGGTGGCGGCGGCCTGCGCGCCCAGGTTAGGTCTCTCCCCGCGGCCCCCCAAGAAGCCGCGCACCAGAGGCCCCTCTTGCCCAGGGTCACTCTTTGCGTGCAGCCGATCTCCGTCCTTTTGTTCTCTTTGGCCAGGGTGTCCAGTGTCCTGGCCAGCAGTGCCCTGTTGCAGGAGGCCCTGCGGAGGTATGGGTCCTCCTCCTCCTCCTCCTCCTCCTCCTCCTCCTCTGTTTCCTCCTCCTCGTCCTCCTCGTCCTCCTCCTCCTCCTCCTCCCCCTCCTCCTCCTCCTCTCCTCCTCCTCCTCCTCCTCCCCCTCCTCCTCCTCCCTCCTCCTCCTCCTCCTCCTCCTCCTCCTGGGTGGAGGGGCTGCGGCCCTCTCCCGACGGGGACCTGCCGCCGCGGCGCCACGGGCTCGCTTCTGCCTCCCCTCGCGCCGTTGCCAGGGGGGGTTCTTGGCATCGCTCGGACGTGTGCATTTTTTCCTCGGCGAGAACCATCGATCAGAGCCCCGAATCATCAGGGGTAACTCGGGTCAGGGATAACTCGGGTTCCTTTTTCGGGAATCCAAACCCGAGTTATCCCGGACCCGAGTTACCCCGGATAACTCGGGCGTCCAGAGCCCCAAAATCATCAGGGGTAACTCGGACCAGGGCTAACTCGGGTTCCTTTTTCGGGAACCCAAACCCGAGTTACCCCGGACCCGAGTTACCCCGGATAATTCGGGCGCCCAAATCCTGGACCATCGAGCAAAAAGAACACGCGCGAAACCGAAACATGCACGGGAAATGGACGTCCGAGCGACGGCAAGGGTTGGGGGGCTCAGTGGGCCCTGGACACGACAGGGCCGTCTTTTTTGTGCCAGTTCCGTTCTGCCGTTTTTTGTTTGCCGGTTCCGACGCCGTGTTTTTTTGCCGGTTCCATCGCCGTTCTTTTGCGGGCTCCCGCTCCGGTGCCAATCCTGGAGCCGTTTTTGTTGCTGTTTCCGGTCGCCGTTTTTGTTGCCGTTTCCATTTTCAATGGACACGTTTTTCGGAAACGGTGAAAAAGCGGCCCTGCCGTTTCCGGGGCCCACTAAGGGTTGGGGGGCCAGTAACGTCACGATTCGCGCTGGCGCCGTGTTGGAATTGGCCACCACCAGGCATTCCCAGCAGACGCCGCTGGCACGAGTCGTGACGTCAAAGGGGAGCTTCGCTCCCTGGGTAACGGGCGTGATCGCGAATCGTTGAAAACGCTCTCCAGCAACGGATGCCTCCAGATGTCTCTTCGTTCGAGATTTCCCCAGGAGCATCTCGAAGGTCCTTGGCTCAGGCCTAGGAAAGGTCTTGGAAGCGCGCCCCCAAAGCTGGTCTCCCTCCGCCTTTTAACCCCTCATCGGGCGGGGCTGCAACAGGGATACATCGTTTCAGAGCCTTCTGGAGCGCTCTCAGAGCGTTCCGGAACGCTCTGAGAAAGCAGAGGCGCCCAGTACGTCCTCCAGAAGCGCCTGATCTCAGAGATCCCCGATTCATCCCTGTCCGATTTCGTCCTTGTCCTGGCTTCGTCTTACCAGGCATGAGGGAATCCTCGAATGCTCCGCCAACCCTCGTCGCCACGGGTGGACTCGGCTTCAGATGGGGTCGTCTACGCCGGTTCGGCGTCGGGCACTGTGCTTGGGGCCAGGCTCCGAGAGGGGATCTCGTCCGATGGCGACGAGGAGTCGACGAGGGAGGAGGAAGAGGAAGAGGCCGAGGAACCCTGGCGCCATCAGGGGATCCTGTCTAGGGAGCCCCGCGAGGAGTCCGGGAAGCGATCCTGAGGGAATCCCGACCGAACCTTCCGGAGTCCTGATGGGGCCTCCCAGAGGGGATCCCGAGGGCTGCGCCCCCGCTCCTCCCGCAGAAGCCCTCCGCCCCCCTTGGCGCCCGATGCTGGCGCGCAGAGGAGCAGCGGCGCCCGCGGCGCCCGCGGCGCCCGCGGCGCCGGCGGCGACCGCGGCCCCCGCGGTCTCCGCGACGCCCTTGGCGCCCGTGGCGCATACAGCGCCATCGGCGACCGCGGTCCCCGCGATGCCCGCGGCGCCCGCGGTGCCCGTGGCGCCCCCGACCCCACCCGGCGGCCGCGCGCGGGGGAAGTCGGGCCTCTGGGGGCGGTGCTTGTCGCGGCGTCTCCTGGGACGCCATGGGGCACGCCAGCCCATCAAGGGAGCAACGTTGGAGGGGGATCGGAGGGTTCCCCCAGGTTTCCGACGCCTTCGGGTATGTCGGGCGTGTCCCCCTACAGGGGGACTTTCGACGAACCATAAAAAATACCACCAACATACCCCAAGAAGGTCAAAAATACTAAAAAAAATCTCCCCCGACTATTTTTGGATTTTTTGTGTGATTATTTTGGGGGTATTTTTTATTTTGCGTCGAAAATCCCCCCGTAGGGGGACAGGCGCGACATAAGCCTTCGTCGGTTCTCTGCC